AATAACCTCAGAGTTTCCACCCCCTGAGGCAAAATGCAACACATTCCATCCACATTCGTTGCTTTGTAATGACGGATCAGCACCCTGTTTAAGCAGACACTTCACAGCCTTTAGCTTGCCCTTCCCAGCAGCCACCATTAATGGTGTTCGACCCTCATCATCATCTCTCGAGTCAATGGAAAATCCAAGGGCGAGCAAGGATTCAATTTCATCAACATCATCGGCCTCTGCAGCAGAGTGAAGTGAATTTCCTATCGTCTTTTCCTCGTTTACAGAGGAGTTGCCTAAAATAATTGATAATTAAAAAGACACAGCTCGTGAATTTTTCGAGATAGTAGAGAAGCAATTTAGTTTGTAGCTGACACAGGAAAAACTGACAACATAACTATAAAAACATTCCAGTCGTGTTATACGTCTTNGGAGTTGCCTAAAATAATTGATAATTAAAAAGACACAGCTCGTGAATTTTCCGAGATAGCAGAGAAGCAATTTAGTTTGTAGCTGACACAGGAAAAACTGACAACATAACTATAAAAACATTCCAGTCGTGTTATACGTCTTGCTATTGAATAATTTTCCTGTCTGTTTTAATTCAGTAAACGGAAGCTACATGTTCAAACAAAGCTCTGCAGCGAACATGCGCATAGATATATCTGGCCGAGTCTTTTGTAAGCCTTTTCCAGGTGTTCAGTTAGTTGAGGCGCAGCGCGAAAATAAATCATGGCAAAAAAAAGTGGAGAAGCGCGGCGTGGGAAAGCGAGAGAACAAGTGAAGCCTCTCTCTCCATATTTCCTGTTCGCCGTTTTTTCCCGCTGTGCCCTAACTAAGTGAACGCCTGGGAGAGGCTAAGGTTTTACACAGCAAATATAAATCAGTTCCTTGAGGGTCTTAATTACAAATCTACCTGGGAGACCCAGCGTTTATCCGGGAAAATGCGGTAAAAATGATATATTTAAATCCTAGGGCTCCTTGCCTTTAGTGGCTAGGCTAAGTATTTTTAAAAGTTTTTCTGGTTTTCCTGCTTGCAATTAGTACACGGTAGCTAGAACAGCACGTCGAAAGTTCGGTCATAAACAGATTTTTTACCTCCGTCTACAGGGAAGGGTATTTGAAGTAGCTCTTTGTGTTGTGAATCTTCCTATTGAAAAATTTACCTGTCTGTTTTAATTCAGTAAACGGAAGCTACATGTTCAAACAAAGCTCTGCAGCGAACATGCGCATAAATATATTTGGTCGAGTCTTTTGTAAGCCTTTTCCAGGTGTTCAGTTAGTTGAGGCGCAGCGCGAAAATAAATCATGGCAAAAAAAAGTGGAGAAGCGCGGCGTGGGAAAGCGAGAGAACAAGTGAAGCCTCTCTCTCCATATTTCCTGTTCGCCGTTTTTTCCCGCTGTGCCCTAACTAAGTGAACGCCTGGGAGAGGCTAAGGTTTTACACAGCAAATATAAATCAGTTCCTTGAGGGTCTTAATTACAAATCTACCTGGGAGACCCAGCGTTTATCCGGGAAAATGCGGTAAAAATGATATATTTAAATCCTAGGGCTCCTTGCCTTTAGTGGCTAGGCTAAGTATTTTTAAAAGTTTTTCTGGTTTTCCTGCTTGCAATTAGTACACGGTAGCTAGAACAGCACGTCGAAAGTTCGGTCATAAACAGATTTTTTACCTCCGTCTACAGGGAAGGGTATTTGAAGTAGCTCTTTGTGTTGTGAATCTTCCTATTGAAAAATTTACCTGTCTGTTTTAATTCAGTAAACGGAAGCTACATGTTCAAACAAAGCTCTGCAGCGAACATGCGCATAAATATATTTGGTCGAGTCTTTTGTAAGCCTTTTCCAGGTGTTCAGTTAGTTGAGGTGCAGCGCGAAAATGGATCACGAAAAAAAAAAAACAAAAGTGGAGAAGCGCGGCGCGGGAAACCGAGAGCAGAAGCTAAGTTCCTCTCTGCATTTTTTTTCTCTTCGCCGTTTTTTTACACTGTGCCCTAAGTGAACGCCTGCGAGAGGCTAAGGTTTTGCGCGAGAATTTTTTATTCTCTTAACAAATGCCCAATATGTATGAGTAAATTTAATAGGCACATGCATGTATTTAATTTCTTTTTGTCGAGATTTGAACAACTCTCATAGTTTGTGAAACGGTTTAAAGAACACTTAAAATAAAATTACAAAATGCTTCACGTATTGTAAGTTGTATCCCACTACACAGTAATGATTTGACAAGACAAGTCTTTCTCTTAGGATTAGGAAACTTAGGTAGCGATTAAACTGGCTAAACATCGCTTTAAATCAGCAGACATAGTGAATAGACAATCAACAATACACTGTGGAAGTAAGATAAGGCATTTTTATCAAGAGCCTTCCAGTAGTTCTACCTCCTTAGAGACCGATCGTAAATATTCCCATACAAAGTCTTATAATTTTGCCGCGACCACCATAACAAAAGATGATCTTCGCTCACAGCTTGAGCTCGGGCCGCCTCTACTGAGCCTAGTTTTTTCAACAAAAATTCCTAGCTAGTTCAGACCAAGGGACTTGTCCTCGCGACTTGTTGGAGAGACTAGTGGCACAGACTTTCCCCTCCTGTGTACCGGCCTTTAGGAATAAGATGGTGTTGTGCCAATTTCCAGCGAGCGTTCTTAAACAGGATTGCTGCTCTTTTGCATCAGTGCACAGGTCTATTAAAAAGTCCTCATACAATATACACAAACCTGTTGGTCCTGTTGCTGAATCTCCTTTTCTGTCACTGTCTGCTTCTGCGAATTTTGAAGAGGATGGTGAAGCTGTGTCTCTATTTGCATCTGATGCAAAAAACACATCAGAGTAATTAGACATCATGACTTGACTAAAACAAGGTACACCCACAACGCCCACACAAACACACCTGCTGTTAACACACATTTCGTCAACAGCTCGTACTTGTTCGGCGTTTCTAACGACTTCCTTTGTTTCCTGATTACCGTATTTTCTCGATTAAACGCTCCCAGCGTTTCTATCAAATCCGGAATTTCGTGGATGAGGCGTTTATTTGACTCTTGCAGTTTATTTGAGCCTAGAGTTTATTTTTTATACCCTAAAAATATACCTAGACTATTATACACGTCAAATATAAATCAGTTCCTTGAGGGTCTTAATTTGAAATCTACCTGCGAGAACGGCCCAGCGTTTACCCGCGGAGAAAATACAGTATAGATGATAAATTTAAATTGCGTGCCTAGGTTTTAGTAACGAACTTAGTTACAATGTTTACTTCTTTTCTATTGGTTTTGTAATCGGACCTTTTAGCGTCACCACGCGCATATAAAAGCTCAGTTAGCATCCTTTTAACAGAGTTTCGTAAGATTTCGCCTTGATTAGTAGTACCTTTGTTGTTCTTTGTTTCCAAACTTGGCACAAGCGGGACCGATATGTAAGTGATTTTTGTAGTTTTATTTAGTTTGTTTAGATTTAGTTTGTTCTATTTTGGGCGAAGCCAGATTTATGTACAGAATCGTACATAACACAATTTTGATTGTCTTGGATTCAGAAAGAGAGCATCGCATAAATTAGAGCCTTATTTAGTGAACGCCCACGTTTAAGACTAGGCTATTCTGGGCTGTTGATCATCCGCAAATGTTCATCTTTTGATTGTTTGTACAATCTCGAGTAGTTTTAACGTAGTTTACAATGATTTGTTTATGTTAATTTACGTTGTTGATTGTTATTTTGTCGCGTTATCAACGTAGACACGTAGATTGTTACACGCCCCCTTGATCTTATGTTACGCAGCATTTCAAGTAAATTGATTAGAAATTCGTTATATTGTTATTTAAGATAACGATCGTTACTATTTGAAGCAATAAATCGCTGTTAACCGTCAACTTGGTTTTCCGTGATTCTTGCTACCTCGCAGACGACCCGTAAGATAGTCCCGACACTCAGCAGACACGCTTTTAAGCGACACGCCTTGAAGTTTGAGTCGTTTTTAAGTCGCCGCAAGCGTTACAGGCCCCTTGCCCTTAGTGGCTAGACTAGGCATTTAACGAAAATTACCTACAACGATAATTTTTTCGCAGTGGTGATCAGAAAAATGAGGAAATTTATATAAACGAAAAAACAATTTGGGGGTTACTTTTTACTTTGGTGTTCCTTCCTGCTCGTAATTAGTACACGGTAGCTAGAACAACACGTCAACAGTTCGGTCATAAACAGAATTTTTTCCGCCATTTTTTGAACGAAAAAGGGTGACGCTGTCAACATACGTATGCAAGGTAACCACAGCTAGCTACAGCTCTCCTCTCGGGCTTGAGTTCAATAGAACGGTGAAGGGACAGTTCAGGGACTCAGGACCAGCAAAGCACAAATCAATTGTCAAAAGGACTATAAAAACAGGCCGATAAGCATGCCAAAACTCTGACAGTTATTGTAGAAATAGAATTAGCTACTTGAAGTATTCCACTGTACCTTTATGATTCAAAATATCATTCCCAAGGGCAAGTTAAGTTAAAATTTCGCCACAAGATTACAGTTCACCATTCAAATGGCATATGTCAACTTAACTGCTATCTAAAGCTTACATGTATGTCAAGTTTAGAACAAGGTGATAATTGTGCTTATTGTCAGCAAGTGTACTCAGGGTGCATTCAATTGATCTTTTTCTGTAAAAAATAAATGGAATCACCAAACAAATTCATTTGATGGAGTCATTAATCCAATTCCAGAAAGAACAAAAAACATTATTTCACGCATTCTGCTCAAGAGAGCTCAGAGTACGCCAAACAATTCAGAATAAAGATGTCACGTTCTACCTCTTCACATTGCATCGTCCTTTTGCAAAACAACACATAAAAATGGCAGTTTTCTTCGTAAATAAAGGTGCACTCTTCCTTTGGAATATGGATTTGGATCAGGATCAATGATCATATTGCAAGATCAATTTATTAGATCATGGCGCATCGATTAAACGAACCAATGAATCCTAAGTCTGGGGTCAATTTAATAAAACTCTTACATTGTAATCTACAAGCCGGACCAGTGTCCGACTTGTAATTACAGGTGTAACGCTACACGTGTAAACGGTGGTGAGAATCAAATTTAATAAAACTTCTACAAGCGTCCAACTAATGTAAATCACAAGTACAAAATACAAGTCGTATGTCAATTGTAAACATTGAGTAGGACTTCAGAAATGGACAATGGAGCGTCAAATTATGTCGTCTTCTAATGAAGAGGAACTCTACGAGCTCCTGGGAGGTCAAGTTATCTGCCAACCAAGGAATTTTGAGGAAAGACGGCTTTTTGACATCGAAAATCCAAGGGAATCGAGGCAAGTTTCGTCTCTGTTTACATGAACCTTCATCCTTGCACCTTTTGGAACTTTAAATAAGGCCCACAGATTTTGAAAGGGCAGCAGAGATATTAAAATTCGCATTTGCAGAAATACACGTGCATTCACGCGGATTTTAAAATTGTTACGCTACAATTGTAATTTACACTTGTATTGGACTCGCGATACACGGGTGAATTCCAGTGTAGAAAATACTTTTATTGAATCCTTGTATTTACAAACCGGACTTCACACGTGTAAATTACGCGTGTAAAAACTACAAGTGTAATTTCTTTATTAAATTGACCCCCTGGATATGAAAGACTTGATCAGTTCTTTAATACACCATAATCCAAGTGATCCTACATAGGTCATTGATCCTGATCATAATTTCCAAAGAAAAACACCTTAAGTTTACACGTGCAAAAACAACACCGGCTGTTGCACCAAAGTGGGAAAACAGTAGAAACCAAAATCGAAAATACCTTCACGGTACATCTGATGAAGCCCAACATATCAAGAAAGGAGAGAAGTACAATCCATCCACTTTCCATCGTTTGGTTTATTCCAGAAACGGAATTATTAGTTCTAATTATCGATGTACCGTCAGAATGTCTATTCTAGAATATTCTGGAATAAGTTCAATCAAACTCACCCTAAACAGTGTTTTTGCTCCCATGCATCGGTGTACACATCTTAACAAAGTCAGCATTGCATTGCACATGCAGAAAACACAAACCTGTTGGTTCTGTTGCTGAATCTCCTTCTTGATTACTGTCTGCTTCTGCAGATTCTGAAGAGGATGGTGAAGCTGTAACTCCATTTGCATCTTATGATAATGAGAGAGAGAGATTTTATTACATGGCTGGATGTCTCATTAAAGGGGATGCCACTTGATAAAAGGAATTGGCATAATGGGCTGAATGGAGAGAGTTTGAATTGTTCTTGCGGTATATTTTTTCCACTAACACAAAAAATTAAAAATAATAGTTGATGATTGGATCATTGAACATTTTAAGTAATATCAAAAAACCAAGCCATGCCCACAATCAATATACATTATTGATCCTGATCCTTGAACCTTTTTGATAAACGTTTCCACCACATAAATGGCATGTCTTTTCTAGGATCAGGGGATATCTCAATTTCCACCAGGAGTAATAAAATATTCTCTGTCATTCTTGCCACCTTTCCTTCTTAGCCAGCAAGGCCTAACGGCATAAGGTAAGGTGGCTCTACACACACGAATTGATTTAAGCCATTCAAATCATGAATTTAGACTGGTCACTGTCAACTACAGTGTATATGTAAAGCTACAGAATAGAATATTGTGCTCTTTAGCCAGCAAGCATACTTAAACAGCATCATTACTCTTATACATCAATGTAGACATCTAATTTAACTGTGCTTTTCAACAACAAGCAAGCTGCTCTGCTCAATCAGTGGTTTGTGTCTCTCAGTTACTCCATGCACACTCAGGGATTGTTCTATTTATGAAAACTAAGAGGGGATTTGAGTCTTACGTTTTCAAGGGTTT